TTGCAAATAGCCAAGAAAATTCTCACAGAGGGCAATTTTGCTACAGGGCTATAAATATCAGTAATATACAAATCTCTTTGCTGAAAACCTTTTGCCACCAATCTGGCCTTGTACTTTGTTATATTACCTAATTCATTTTTCTTCTTTTTGTACACCCACTTACACTCAATGACAGCTCTTTTTACGTCACTTTCACAAACTATCACCCATGTTTCATTTTCTTCCAATGCATTCATCTCTGCCTCCATTGCCTCTCTCCATTTGTTCGCCTCACTACTAGCCATAGCATCCTCATAGCACATAGGATCATCATTGTCATCACTCGCTGCCATCAAGACTCTGTTTAGGTCCATGTCATAATCATCATATTTGGGGTTTCTTCTTATATTACGTCTTAAGTTATATCTCGCATTCACTATTTCTTCATTTAAATCTAAATCCATTCCATCATCTCCAGGTAATAAATTTTCATCACTGTGTATGTCACTTTCATTCAATATATCATTGTTATCTTCATTTTGTACATCTTCTGTTTCCGATTCATAGTTTTCTTCAATATTTATTATCTCATTTACTTCTTCCCGAGCTTCTTCCGCTTCTAAAATCTTTTCTGGTAGAAAAATAACGTCTCTATGGGTTTCGACTTTGTTCTTCTGAGGAATATACACCCTAAACCCTTTTACATTATCTCCATATCCAAGGAAAAATCCTTGTTTATTTTTAGGGTCCCACTTTAATCTTTTTTCTTTGGGTACATGTATTGATACTCTATTTCCAAAAATATTGAAGTTTTCTAATTTATATTCTTTTTTATGCCATAGTTCATAAGGTGTTGTCATTTTTCTAGGACTTGGTCCTGTACGGTTTAGAGTGTATGAGACAGTATTAATTGCTTCTGCCCAAAAGATTTTTCCCAAGTATGTATTGCTATTTATCATGGTTCTGGCAGCTTCTACCAACGTGCGATTCTCTCGCTCAGCCCTGCCATTCTGTTGAGGTGTATAGATAGATAGATGTTTATTTCCAAGGATCACATACAGGATATAGGAAAATATTTACAGATAAAATTTGCATTACATACTAATCAATAACGTAACATTATAAATAATTAAATACCTATTTATAACAATAAGCATAAGAATAATCAAATAATATACCTATTACAATTTTTATGAAGTATTCTTTCATATCTTCCACTGCGTAAAGTTTAGAAACTCCTCCACTGTATAGAATGCATTTTCCAATAAAATATTTTTAATAAAACATAAGAACTCATTCTGATTTAATTGACGTTTGCTAATAGGTATCTTGTTATACAAAATAGCCCCTATGTAGTAAGGATTTGCTTTGTAAAGCTCAAGACGATGAACGTCATATTGATAATCAAGTCCAAATCTAGTTGTGTAATCATGATGCAGATTTAGAGCTTTAAAAGCATTTGAGTTATCCCTTACAAATTTCAAGATTTCGAAAATGTATAAACAAGGCATAAGTAGTCATGATTTTTTCAGAAATAAATTTTTGTCTACAAGATTCCCTAAACTTCATATTATACATTAATCGAATAGCCCTTTTTTGCATTATAAAGACTCTCTGTGAAGCAGAGGTTGCACCCCAAAGCACAATCCCATATCTAATACATGATTCAATAATTGAAAAATAAAACATTCTTACAGTGCTTCTACTTGTTATTTGAGACAGACGATATAAAGCAAAACAACTCTTTGCACACTTATTGCATACATAATTTATCTGCTCTCTCCAGTTTAATGACATGTCAACATGGATACCCAAAAGTTTCACAGTATTAACCTGCCTTATTGATCTGCCATTCAAGAGAATGTATTGACTTTTATTGTAATTTGCCTCATAAGGATGAAATTGCATTGTGTAAGTCTTTGCCTGGTTAAGCACCAGTTTATTATTACAAAAATAATTAGATAAAAAATGCAGGTTATCTGTCAAACCCTTTTTCATAATTTGTTCATTGAGATCAGAAGATAAAAGTGTAATATCATCAGCAAATTCACAATGCAAAGTTGTTAAGATATCCGATATATCATTCACGTACATGAGAAATAGGAGGGGACCAAGAACACTACCCTGTGGTACACCAACCTCAACATTTAACTGGTCAGACATAGCTCCATTACATTGCACATATTGTTTACGATTACAGAGATATGATTTTAATAATGAGTAACAGTTACCACTAATTCCGTAGGATTGAAGTTTTTGCAAAAGCAGGCCGTGGTCCACACAGTCAAAAGCTTTAGTTAAGTCCACAAATAGTGCCATAACTTTCTTGCTTTTGTCTAGATTTTTATAGACATTATCTAAAATATAACATAGTGCAGAAATAGTCGATCTTTTGTCGCGGAAACCATGCTGGGTATTTGATATTAGATTATTTGAATTTAAAAAGTTTAAAATGCTGTTATATGTTATATACCACCGTACGTTGGTGACATATACCTTTGTTTTGCAAAATCTTCGTTACATCTTTGTTTACAAACTCTAAACCATTGTCAGTCCTTAGAACTTTCATTCTTGTTCCTGTTTGTCTTTCAGCCAATAATATAAATTTTTTAATCACACTTGGCACTTCAGATTTTTGTTTTAGGAAGTAAATATGTCTGTAGGAGGAATAGTCATCTTTGAAGAGTATGAAATATCGAGCTCCACCTAACGAAGGAGTTTCCATTGGACCACATACATCCGCATGAACCAACTCCAAAGTTTCTGTGGCTCGAAACTCACTTTGCTCAAAACTTGACCTGTGTTGTTTACCGACTAGACACTGTTCACATATAAAATCTCTTTCTATGTCTACGTACTCTATGTTCATTTTTTTCAAAAAATCTTTGACATATTTGATGTTCTGGTGAACTAATTTGCAATGCCAATCTTTTAAACTTTCAATGTTTTTAACTTTCATACATTCAGAGACTAGGTCAACTTCTGAGTCATTGGTGTTTTGTATTTGTGAACATATTTTGGCAATATCTGCTGCTTTTTCTTGGGTAAAAAGCATTCTATATAATTTATTTTCTCTTACTGCTTGGGCTCTAATGTTACCTTGTTTATCAAAAAATTGACACTTCAAATTATCTGATGACATGAAATATCCATTATCAAGTGCGCACCCAGCAGAAAATAAATTAAATTTTAATTTAGGTACATATAAAACATTTGATAAGGAAGTTTCAATCGATCTTTCACCATTATATGCCCACAAAATTATTTTCCCATATCCTCTTACCTCTAATTTCTGTCCATTTCCAACTTGCACCATTCTAGAAGTTTTTATTTTGTAAAGTTGTTCAAATAAATCCCTATTCCATGACATGTGCTCACTCGCACCTGAGTCGAGACACCAATCATTTGATTTGACACCTTCTGTGTGAATCATGAAAGCATTCGAATCATTTTCTTCCTCTTTTGCAGTATTCTTGTTGGAGTTTCCTTCTCTATTTTTCTTTATCCAACAAGTTTGCACTAAATGCCCTGGTTTTCGACAGTAACTGCAAACTCTGTTTCTAGGTTTTCCTGAGTGCTCATTATTATGTTTTTTATTTCGAAAATAACAATTTTTAGCTATATGACCAATTTTCGCACAAATGTAACATTTCATTTTAGTTACCTTATTTTGATTTCCAGTTTTTGCAGCAAAAGCTGTTGTAGTCTCGACAGATGTGGATCTTTCCTCCTCCAGCAATAATCTCGAAGTCAATTCCTCTAATGTCTGATTGTCCACTGGCACTGATTCCCAGGCAGACCTAAAATGTTTAAATTGCTCTGGCAGACTCATCAAAATTTTTGTTATTATCATTTTTTCCGATAAGATTTCACCTGCAGTTTTCAACTTTGTTTTAATATCTTCAATTTTTGATATAAATGTACTTACAGAGGAATCAAACTCAAGCATAAAGAATCTCTGTTGAAATAGGTGGACGCTTACGACAGACTCTATATCATATACCGTTTTTAGTTTTGTCCACATCTCTTTTGCTGACTCGCATGATAGCAAGTGTGTTAGAGGAGCCTCATCCATACGAGTAACTAATAACTCCTGTGCTTTGGCATCATCCTTCAACCATTTATTGAGATCATCTCCTGGACCTGGTTTTATCCTTGAACCATCAACAAGCTGGAAAAGACCTCGCCCTTTTAAAATAATACTGGTCTGGAACTTCCAGACGGGCCAGTTATCCCCAGTTAGCTTCAATGTGGCATTGTTTTCACTCATTTTTCCAAATTTTTGATTTTTTCGTTTTTTTTTTTTTTTTAAGCACTTTTTGTCAAACTTTTGACTTTTTGACCCAAAATGGAAAAACTTTTATTTACCCGAATCCCGCGTAACGCAATCTGGACCCGTAACCTGTTTTAATTTTAATATTCCGTGAATCTAAAAGAAACGCGATCTTTTCACCTCGAAAAGATAATTTGGATTCGGTAATTTTTACAACATTTATTGACAACTATCAAACTTGACAAAAGACCCGTTTAGAAAACAGGACCAACTACAATATACAAATACTTACAAGTTTAAATATTTGTAATGGGAATTTACTATTGAATCAGTGGCACTATTAAGGCAATAAGATAACAAGACACAGTTTCTTTAAATTTAACAATTTTATCAAATCCGTGTACCAAGCAACGGCACTGGACGCGGATTCCGTTTGCTTGATCGATCGATATCGGATTGGTCGCTTTTGCTCAAATGCAATTCGGCCGATTCCTATTCGTCTGGATATCGAGGAAAGCGATATCGTTTCAATCACGTGAGTGAAGTTATGTTCTTGGATTCTAGGTTTTTTTGATTTTATTTTTTGAGATTTTTTTTCTTTTTCAAAATGTAAGTACCTATTATATGTTCTAATAATTAAGAGTATTTTCAACATACATTTTCCTTGCATGACCTCTGCAAATTTCAATAAAATATTTTTAGGCCTTTTCAAATGAAAGAATCCCCTTGGCACCTTATTTTTGAATATATGATGGCCAATCCAGAATTGGCAAGGGGCCGAATAATATCTGCTCAAGGCAGAAAAGACTACACAAAAATGTGGACTATATTATCAGAAAAATTGAATTCACTTGGATTGGGGGAGAAGTCTATTGAAAAGTGGCAAAAGGTAAGCAAGGGTAAAACCTTTCTTGATTATAAAAATCTGTTTTCAATTTTATTACAGTCATGGAGTGATTACAAGTACAATTTGAAGAAAAAAGCTGCAGAAATTGAAAAAAGCCAGACAGGGGGAGAGTCAGAAAGTTTCCCTAGTTTAACGGATTTTGAACTGAAAGTTTTGGGAATATATGGAGAATCAGACTTTGATATCTACTCTAACACTGAACCAAGCACCTCCCAAAAACTTGGAATAAACAAGGAAGGTAATTCAGTAATACCAAAAGTAAATCGATTCAGAAAGAGGTCTCATCCTCCTGCTAAAAATGATCAAGCAAGCTGTTTGGCAAAACTGACACCAAAGCTTAAAAGCAGAAAAATACAAGAGAATGAGGATATGAAAAAAATCTACAAGGATATGGTAAAAATATTGAACAATGTGAATCATAATACAAGTTTGATAGCAACAAGTCTGGAACATTTGGTTGAAGAAATCCGGTCTTGCAAAAACATTCTAAACTTGATATATGAAAAACATTAATATTGAAGGTTGTTTATTAGAATTGTGTTTTTACTGTATGTAGGTATATTAGGTATCATGTTATTTTTTTTATAACAAGGAAAGATACCTAATACTGATATTTTTCTGTTGATATCATAGATTTAGAACTCTAGATATTAGGTTTTGACTTAGAAAAGTCACTCCATCACTTGGTAGAGTAGAGTTTTATGTTCCTGAGTTTAAATATGGTTTATTCATTCATAAAGCCTCTTATAGGTTTTCTTTAAGTTCTCATATAACCTGTTATTTTTAAATAAAAATAAAAAACTTCAAAATGTTTTCTTTTCATTGATGATACATATTAAATATTTACATAGTGAGTATGAATGGATGAACAAAAGGTCTGTTTCCACAGAATGAAATACCCTATATCCTGTATGCTATTGCATATTTGAATTCTATTGGAAATTTCGAGTAGATTTCATCTGATATACGATGATATACCCTAGACCTGTTTTGGAAATATTGACAGTTGAAAATTGACTTTTTTGCAAATTTCAATTTTCCTGGAGATTAATGGGTCAATTCTGTGCACATCTATAAGTAAATCTATAAATTTCTATAAGCCTATAGCTGCCTATAGACAATTTGCAGTTCCATTCTTCCTGTAGATTACAGAATATTTTATAGGTGTCTATAGGCTTATACAAATTTATAAATTTGCTTACAGATGTGCACAGAAATGACCCGTAAGTATAGTTAATTGGAATTTGGAAGATTAAATTCAAAGTTGGTGTCAAAACTGTCAAATGATAGTTCATGAAAATCTAAGACAAGAATGTAAGATCGGTTTTCCTCTGAAATTAACCGTCTAGGTTTTACAGCAGGTCAAAGTTGCAAAAAAGTTAATTTTCAACTGTCAATATTTTCAAAACTGGTAAACTTAGGTATAGGGTATATCACATGAAATCTGCTCAGAATTTTACGTAGAAACCAAATATGCATGTGTTTCGTTTGAAAAAACAAAGTTAACAAGCCAGAAGTGAAAAACACAATTCGTCTAGGTACCGTTGTAGGAAATAATTCACTGAGCAACTTTCATGAAGGTCACTTTTTTGTATACAAGGTAATTGAAAAGTTACATGTATTAATTATTCGCGACTTTTTTGCCACTCTCTATGACAGTTGACAATATATTAGGTTTTAGTGCTAGGGTCGCTATCTTCACAAATTAACAATACTTGTTGGCAATTCACTATCCCACTCAATGACATTCCACTGCTATGCCTGTAAGTGAAAAAGAGCGGAAAACTGAATGGGCGACGCCCGAGCCCAGACAGCCAAACCCGGACATTGAGATCATTGTTAAAGGACAGGAAAATGTCACGCAAGAGCAAGCCCAAAAGAAAGTCTAGGAAATCCGCAACTTTTTTATAGACAAGAGTGTCGGAGCTGTAAAAGCCGGTAAGGACAACAAGGCAAGGAGGAGCCATCATACTGGCAAAAGACCAGGAACAACAAATACACATTAAACAACTCCTCCAGGAGTGCCAGGTGGGCGAAGCGAAATAAAAGAAGGGAGTGACTCACAACAAAGACCGATGCTAAGACTGTCAAGAGTTCATAGAGAACCCTGAATTTGTCCAGTTGACGGACAGATACCTTCGAGTTGTCCACGGGAGGAGCTGCAGAATCGCCTACAGGGAAAACATAGTTTGCGAGGCGAAGTTAGCACGGAGATATTCAGACGAGTGATGAGAACAGGGAAGATAAAGTTGAACCTGACGAGCGTATACGCGGATGAATATCTGGACTTGGCCATGTGCTTCAACTGTTGCAGATTTGGGCACGTGGCACAACACTGCAGAGAGTCACCAACCTGTATTCCATGTAAAAAAAGATTGCCAGAAAGCCTAAACTAACCATAAGAAGGGATGAAAGGAAACACATGGCCTAGGACAAGGAATGCCCAGCCTATAAGATGAAACTAGAGAGGAAGAGGGGAAATATTCAATACAACATATAAGTATGCCAGTACAACCCAAAACACAGACATAAAAATCCTACAGATAAACACAGACAGAGGACGCGAGGCCACAAATCTGGCCGAGAAAATGGGAAACGAACTAGACATGGTGTTTAATCAACATAAAATTTGAATTACACATTTCGAAATTTCAACATAAAATTTAATTAAGTCTGAAATTTCTACATATTATAAAATTCACAATTTGTTATAAATTTGGCAAGGTAATCAAAGTATCACAAACCTTGCCCAAATTTACTAAAAAACCACGATTCATCATTCACGGCGTCAGTCACCTTAATTTCCGTAATGATACAGTGTAGCGCCAATGTTTTAGATACCTGCCTAAACAAGGTCAACACACAGTTCATTGTTATTAGTTATGATAAATATAGTAAGGTTCAAGTTGAAATGTAAAATATAAATAGGAACCAATTTGATTAATAAAACGAGTATTGAACAATATTACTTGGGTACTCATTTAATTACGCAAATTAGTCATTTGTGATAATTATCCACAAAGTCCTTCTCAAGAGCTTTGTACTCGTTATCTTGGTTAAAGGTAACTAGTGATCTTCAGGGAATTATTCCTGAACGTCACGCCCAGAGATACGGACCTTGGAGGCCTTACAACCCTCTAGTGAACTACAACAAAGGTCCCAACTCTGTTCACATGGACATAATAGTCTTACAAAACCCTACAACATAAAGTAGCACTTATCACATCCACGTCGTACGGGACGGAAACAAAACAAGCATCTGGACAAAAACAGGAAACACATCCTGCGTACACCTGAATAACGGCAATACCACCACGGTCAAGGTTGAAGGCCAAAACGGAAATACCATGTACATAACCTCGCTATACGATGAACCTGGGAGAATTCTCAATCGCAGACTCCTAGAAAACGAGGACAAATACAGACAATTAACGGACGGACACGTGATAAGAGGCGATCTAAATGCACGTAATGAAGCGTGGGGAGGCAACACAACCGACGTAAGAGGTAACCGGCTTCTTGACTGGACAGTGGCTAAGGGATACGAGATAGAAAGCATAGAAAGCCAAGGACCCACATTTGAAACCAGTAGCGCACCCAGAAAATATGTTTGGGGGGAGGGGGGTCCCTACAGAGGTTTGAAGTGCCAAGGTACCACGCCCTGATTTTGCTATATTTTTTTATACGTAAAAATACAGTTTTGGGGGCTGCCTGTGGGGGGGCCCTGGCCCGATGGCTCCCCCCCTGGGTGCGCCACTGTTTGAAACAACCAGAGGTAACAGCTACATCGACTTGACATTAACTAGGAACATGCTGATAGATAACTGGAAGGTGCTTAAAAAAGAGACATTAAGTAGGCACAAATACGTAACATACACCATAAAGAGCATCGCCAGAGGAAGGGAACCAACCAGAAAAGTCTACTACTTCGAAAATACTGTCTGGGGAACCTTCACACGGCTCCTATCGCGTGAAACAAACAAGTTTACATGGGTCCAACCTGGACAAATACTTCCCAAATGACAACCCTGACCCTGAGCAAGACAGCGAATCGATGCGGGTAATCAGATGGAGATACAAAAATTATAGTGAAGCAGACGAGAATGACATAAATCAGACGGAAGTGAAAGAAATAATAGAATATTTGCAAAAAAAAAAAGAAGGCCATAAGTAGCGATCGCATCCTGAACGAGGCGGTCAGCCACATATTCGAAGCAATTCTCGACTTACTAACAAATATATAGAGACTGCTCACGACTAGGAAAGTTTCCTACGGTAGAAAAAAGGCTGACATATTATGGATTCCGAAGAAGGACAGTTCCCTGAGACCCATAAGCCTACTACCAACTCTGGGAAAAGTCTTGGACAAACTGATAAACAAGAGGTTGCAAATACACCTCTAGAAAGAACGAGCAACATAAGTAAACGGCAGTATGGGTTCAAGGAAGGAACGGGCACGGTCTAGGCCCTGTACCAACTTAACCAGCATTATCGACAAAAACAGAAACAAGGGCTCGCACCAGCCAGGACCTTAAGAACACTTTTAGCTCGGCATGGAGGCCGAATGTGAGCCAAGAACTGGAAAAGGCAGGCACACCAGGAAATCCCACACGCATTTGCGAAGACTTTCTGATAGACCGGACGATAAAATCAGGGACAGTAAGCGGGGTCATAACAAGAGGATGCCCACAGGGGTCTAGCCTAGGCCCTACGCTGTGGTTTAGAAACATGGAGAAGCAAATGACGAGTGGCAACGAACTAACGGAGACACATTGGCCAACACACAGGCATACGCAGACGACCAGCCAATTGCTATAGCAGGCTCCCTGGGAAGCATAGAGCGCAAGTGGAAGGAAGTCTGGAGAGAGTGCAAGGCGCGGGAGAATGACAGTAATCTGTGGTACAGGTAAAACAGAGACACTTTTCATGCCACGACACGGCAATACCAGAGCACCCAGGATAAGATTCGAAGACAATATCGTGAACTCGAAGAGATATCTGAAATTCCTGGGGCCCACCATTGTCACTCAGAGAAATAACATTGAACACATGCGCACCACGAGAGTCAAAGTCGCAAGACTAGCGATGACGATATCTGGAAAGATCAACAGAAAGTGGCGACACAACAGAGACGTACTAAGACACATACTCACAAAAATCCTTAAACCAGCCATACTTTATGCAAGTGAAATATGGGGTGAAAAGGCAAATTCACTACTTGGCAGACGACACCTGGATGCAGCGGCTAGACCTCTACTACTGATGATATGCAGCGCATACTCAACGACTGCCAACTGCGCGTTAAGAGTCATGAGTCATGGCGGGCATCCCACCACTATGGCTTGAGGCAACAGAGAGGAGGCGAAACTGGATGGCTTTGTATCAGAGCAGAGAGACGGACAGGCTTACGACAACTAACCGCGGAAGATTGAAGTCCGCTTAGGCCAGTACCAACCAAGAAGGAAGAACGGGCATTGGGATAAACGTAACAATGACGGGCAGAACCGTACGAATATTAAAAAGAGCCCCAGACAACACAGGCACAAATGCAGTCGAAATGTTGGCAATCCTCGAAGGCTTGCGAGTAGGAGAGTAGCTGGGGATCGTCAAAATGATGGTGATAACGGACAGAAAACAGAAGATAAGACGCGTAATGAGATAAAATAAAAGACAAGACAACGGTGCACGTTCTGAAGCTGGCGGAAGAGTTCCTGGATCATAACAAGTCCATCACATTCAGATGGAGGAAAGGCTTCAGCCAAGACAACAGAGCAGTGGACAGGTTAGCTAAGAAGGCCCTCGGACACCCAGAAATAGACTCAAGCCTACGCAAGTACAAACACACAGACAGACAAACAGTGAAAAGAGAGCGAGAGTGCAGAATCCTATATCAGAGTGGCAGCAAGCATGGGACGAAGAAGACAAAGGACGAGAACTACACATACACTGCCGAGAGGTGGGTGTGGACAGACTACTACTAAGCTTCAAAGCAACGCAGCCGCTCATAGGTTACGGTAGCCTAAACCACTACATCCACAGGTTTAAGTTACAAGACACAGACGGACACTGCACGTGCGGACAGGAAAGACCAGAAGACGCGCAACACGTCAGGGAAGTATTCAGTCTTGCTTATCGGGTACAAATCCGAGAGAGGATATTGGAGGAGTATGGGGATCTTCGGATAAACCTAAGAGAGCGAAATCAGACAATCCAACAACAAGTAACTAAAATCAACATATTATGGGCAGTTGTTGCATGGGCACGGACGCACATAACGAATAAGACAAAATTAATGGCAAAATAGGAAAAAAAAAGCGACAAGAAAACAAACAAACAAACAAAATGGAGACTAAACATAGAAATCTTAGACAAAAAAAAAACAAAAATAAAAAGAGGCTCCTTCTAGCGCTAATTTAATCATGGTTAGCGCTGGGTTGTAGGGGTTTCTAGTTACTGAAACAGGATTCCACTGACAGTGATTTTCCTAGATATTGCGTACGACCTCCGATTTTGGCTTATTGAAAGGCGAGAAGCTTGTGGTTCGCCACAGTCGAATGCTATGCTTGTTCTTCAGTTACTAGCAATTTCCAGAACTTCATTTGGCGTTACTGGTCTCAAAAAATCGAACAAACATAGGTAGTTATTTGTGTTGCTTGAAAAGGGAACATCTCGTGAGTCGTAAGCTATCCAGAAGTTCTGGAACAACTGTTAGCAATAATTCACTGTAACTGTTTCAAATATCTTCGGGACTTCCCTCGACTTTCATTCCTGACAAATTCGGGTTTTTTCCTGTTATTTCTTTGCAAATTGCCTACATAAACACATTTAGTCTTATTATCCAACTTTCTTATGCGTTACATCAAATCTCGATAGCATTAATAACATTTCTAGCCTTGCGGTTACACTCTAATACTGTCCGGAGTAGGCTTTTTTGATGGTTTTTTATTTAACAGTTTTCGAGGGAAGTTCTGATTAAACAGTCTTAAAACAGTGTTCACTTACCTATTTGTATATTATACACTTCTAGCCACTCCTGCTCATTCAAGCTGCTCAGAAAATTAATCTTGTTTTCCTCAGTGAATAATCTAACCTATATAGGGGGATAGTTTACCTGTGAACCGAAGTCTGACTTAGACCCATGGTATAAGCTAATCCAAGATCTCTTTGGTAAGAGCCTGTGACCAATAATCTAAGTAATCAATATTCTTATAAATGGGGGAACAACATTCTCATATGTGCCTGTCTCAATATGAGGCTGAACTACCTCAATTTAATAGTGATTAGTTGATAACGATTTTGGTATCGAGTACGAAATCCCCGTCCTATCTGATTGTTGTCAGAGATTTCACCCTGACTCTCCCAAGATTCATATGCTCTACAAAATATGCTTGTGGCGAACAAATACTCGCTTATCCAGCTAGAAAAGTGGAAATCTTTGTTAATGGAAGAGTAATTAAAAAATTCTATTTGTTCAATACTCTTTCCAAGGTAGACGAAGTAGGTAATATAATCTCGAGGGAGATTTTTTATCCCTTATTTGGTAAAATTTCTGTGTTCCATTAATTAAACTAAACTTTGACTTATTATTTTTTACAGAGCAAAAAGATGGTTGATTGCCTGTAATCGTGAAGATTTATTAGAAAAATTGAACAATATACACAAAAGCCATCGCCTATGTGGAGATCATTTCGAAGCCAAAATGTTCACGAATCATCTCCGTAACCGCCTGAATTTCAATGCTGTCCCTACATTATTTTCTATTTTGGTGGAAAATTCTTCTAAGGCAGAAGATCATAGTTATGCGCGTCCACCTCTTATATACCCTGAATCTGTTCCTGAAAAGGTAAATATTATTTAGGACTTCATAATTGTTTAGGTACTTGCATTTATTAAACATTAAACATGTTTTTTTTTTTTTTAGAAATATGTACCTACTACAGTAGATGACACCAAAATAGCAAATTCTCATTTACTAAGTCCTCCGACATCCATTCAAACTTGTTTTACAGTAAGTGACACCGAAACAACCAGCCCATCAGTTGATGTTGTAAGAACAGCATCAACTCAAACTTCAACAACTTTATCTTTCAACTCTCCCAGAAAAAGGAAATATGGAGACCTAATTAAAAATCTCATCAAAGAAAATCAAAGTTTGCGACAAAATGCAGAAAATTTGACAGTGACTTGCAAACTCATTAAAATTGAACTACCCTAGAACAGTATAAGGCTCTAATATTTAAATTTTGTGAGGCTAAAGAAACTGTATCAACACACAAGTCAGCCAAAATAAGAAAAAACCAGGAGGATGAAGATATTCCGAGCAGATCAAAACTGAATGTTCAAAAAATGTTTTTTTGCCTCCCAGGATCGCAAGCACTTCTTAATGGCATACGTGCCATTCAAATAAATCCAGGTCTTTGCAATTTTTCGAAATGATGAAAGCAAAAATTGATTGCTTTGAAGAGACAAAAAAAAATTAATATGTCACGATGCACCATGGAAGTGAAAACTTCCCTATTGAAATAAATAAAATATGATATATTATACCTGTACTTAGAAGAGAAGAGGTTAGTGGAGAAACAGATACACTGCAATTTTCTTTAGTTTTAATGATTCTCTGTCCTTATTCCTCTACACGCTACCAGAGTTCCTCAAACTTAACCTACCCCAATAACGTTGTATACGCATCAATTAATTATCCTTATTCCTCACATACGCTAGCCGAGAAAGTTGCGTGTTTCTTTCCCTTCCACGTATACATTCTCTATCTTTTTTATACACTCGCGCTAGCGCAGTATTGTTCTCCCGTACTTACATATCAACTCTGTTTCTTTGTTACTCACGCTAGTTTTTTACTTCTTTTTCTCTTTTACGCACAGATTTGTTGCCTGTGTTTTCCCTCTCCAACAGCGTGAAGACTAAGCACTTCAACAAAAAATGGTGCTTCTTATGCATTGACAGAATGAGCCATAAGAAAAACAGGCATAAAATAAAAAGTCTCGATTACCAAGTAGACTTTTTGTTAGATTTTATATTTTTTTAATAAATTAGAAATTTGTTGAATAGATATATTGTAAATAATATCAATAAATCGATCAAATGTTTAAAAATATCTAATAGTTTACTTGATTACCCAGAACATTTCTCAAAAAATCCTGTACAAGAAATTAAAGTAAAAGGTCATTTGGTGTGGCTGTATAATCTAACAAGAAAGAAAGGAATGTCGCCGAAATTGTCTTCAGCATGGGAAGGACCCTACAGAATAATCAAGAGGATTAATGATTTGGTTTATCGCGTTCAGCCTTAGAACAGGTAAAGCGCTGTCCTACGGACATAAGGAGTAGGAACGCGTCATTCTGTTTATGAAACTAAAGTGAAGCCAAGTTTTTGGCAGTTGTTTGGCACCAAAATACAGGCAAAGCATTGATGGCCGCTATGGTTTCCACCAACTATTTTAGGGGATCCTTAACGATAAGTATCCCCTTAAACTGGCATTTCTCCATGTAAAAATTTCATTTTAGGGATTATTTATCGTTAAGCTCCCCTAAAATAGTTGGTGGAAACGGCCATGAATTGCCTATACCGCCATTTTTTTGGTTCCAAAATACTTGGAAAAAAACGGCTCCATTTTCCAACTCCATGTTACTACTCCTTTTCCTTTACCTGCTCTAAGCGTTCAGCGTAACACGAGGAGTAAGATGAAAGTTGTACGTTTAGACAGATAGACGAAATATCATGGACGCGAAGTTGATCGCGACGATCAACCTTAAGAACTAGAAGGTGTCACAGAATATGGCGCTTCCACCATGATGTAGAGAATTGAACGGCTGATTCTAGATTTTTCAGTACTATTCCGGAAAAATCGCTGTAGTGACGCGGAAATAAACCACCAAAAAAACAATTAGAAGTTCTGATTATTCTAAACAACTAAAGACCTAGGATCCAACTACCGAAAATTAATCAAGAATAACAAGGACTTACCAAACAACCATCCCATGTGAGATCATCACGTAGACAGCACAACAAGAAACTTCCATTAAAAATTATCTGAACATCGATTTCTAGAAATTATTGAAAGCTGATACTCTATATTGACTAATACATTGGAATGTGAATAAAGCAAAAATTCATGGACCTTTTTTTTAAGTGCTTTCAACAATTATTATTCTAAAGGAGCCGAAAAATTTCTAAAAGGATCAATAAATCATGCTCGAGCCTATATGATGATACAGTGGCGACGCCAGGGCTCTATATTAGGGGGGGCACTTGTCTTTATTTTATTGTTTTTCTTCTTTGGAATAAAAAATGGAAAGTACCTGTCGACACTTATATGTTTGGGGGAATTCCAGGAAAGCGAAAGCAACATCGCGTTTGCCTGTGCCCAAGAACACTAACCTAATAGGACTTATATTGAGCCGAAAATGTTTGCCATTTTAGCCGCAGACCTCAACACTTGGCGTAAAATGCATTACCGAGTTTAAAATAGTATAGGTCAAAAAAACGAATTCTTAAACGTTATAATCTTGTTAAGATCACCTTTTCTACATTTAAAATCGACGAAAAAACAAGCACAACCTGAATCGCAAGCATCCCATCGAGGCCTGCGGGTGACGTCATCACTATAAACTACTATGCGGCTTGCTAAGCTGCTAATTAGTTGTGACGTCACTCGCAGGCCCTGCCGACTCGAGAATTGGCGAACGTACGTCTTATGAGGATAAGCAATCCTGTTGGTTAACGATTCTTGGCTTGTGTTCACCGAATACCGAATTAACCAGCAAAGGCTGCTGATGTTGCATTGCATTGTTGCTGACATGAGAGCAAGTTTCAAGTTTTCAGGAAGGGCCGGCTAAATTTCAGTAGGGGGCCCGGCCCCCTCTGGCCACCACCTGGCACTGTGATGATACCCACTTAACAAGCCACTTAGCGACGCCGTTGATAATTAATTAAAAGGGGAGCAAATACACTAATTGATCGGATGATTCAACCACTAAAAGTCGAGATCAGAAACAATAAAGAAATTCAAGACAATGGAGGGACCAATGATATAAAAAGGCAACTTTGGCAGGAGAAAATCAGTGTTCGAGAAAACCAGTGTTCGAGAAAGAGCTAGTAAACGGGCAGAACTATGGCGTGACAAACCAGTGTCGGTTGAGTAATCAAGAAACAAGTAGTAATCGAGAATCGAGAGACCTATGTCCAGAAAATCAGAACTACGGCGTTGAAGAGTAGTCGAATTAACCGAGAGGAGAAGCACAACGTGAAATAACAGCGCAAAATATTCGAGTTTTTTATTAATGGTTCATAATTTAAGTAAATTCCTTCCACCAATAAAATTTCCATGTAATTAGGTGTGGCCAGCATTAAATATATTATTGTTAAATGTAAGTAGAGTTTTTTATGTTCAGCCAGAGTGTGAATCGAGTCAAACTGTAAATAAAATTTTTCACTTGGAATCATAGGTATAAATATTCCTTTAACAGTTAATTGATGCTTATTAGAAATCTAACAAATTTATTGTAAGATTATTTATTATCGACGCCTGTTAATTAATAACAAGCATTATTTATTTTAATAATAGTTATTTACATCACAAGTGCGTTTATGAGCATGATTATAATAACGAGTGTGAAGGATTAGAACCACGAGGTCGTAGACGAGTCGTTCTAATCACACGATTTGTAGTCATGTTTAAACGCACGTGTGATGTACAACGTTTTATCTACAAAGCGAAAAATGAGAATATTTTTCCAATTATTTTCGTTCATTAATAGTTGTCTACCTTCATTTTACCTTTACAAGTTTACCTTTGACATTTGTCAAATCACCAAAAATAGTTGTAACCTCGTCCATAACACAACTAGTTGTTTTATGAATTCATAACCTAGTCTATAACACCACTAGTTGTGTTATGAGTCTCATGACGTAACTCAAATACTAGAAAAATGGTTATGTAAAAACGTCATAACCAAACGCTTGTAGATAAAATAAACTTTATTTTAATTGACCACAATATTTCTGTGGACAGGTTACGCATCTCGGAAAAAGAAATTAATTTTGAATTAATTATTAATTTAATTGTAAACAAACTCATTCACATTACATAACAATATAACCCAACTTTTTTTGACAGCATGAAACAACGTTGCCATATTTCTTTTATTCAGGCTTGCATTCAACCGACGTAACTTTATTATTTTTTGAATTCGAGAACGGCTGGACCGATCTTGAATTAATACCACGTATCTCTATATAAGCTGAATTCGATTGACCCAGATTAGATCGATTTGGGTTCAATTTAAGTGAACTTCTTCTGATCTAGATCATTTTTTTGTTGATGAGGGTGCACTGATCCAGCTTCAATCGAACACAGTGTGGTTCACTTAAATTGAACCAGATCGATGTAGTCCGGTCAATCGAATCGGCTATAGAGGAGAGTGATATAGGCTATTTTTTATCCCGAAAAAAAAAGTTCGGTTGCGCAAAACTCTGATACACTGGAACGCACTGGAACGCCTATAAACAGCCCGGGGCGCTCTAGAGCAGCTCTGGAGTGCTTAAAATGCGTCACTGAACTCACTTTCAAGCGACTCTAATATCGGATTAAAAAAAAAAAAAAAATTAGAAAATCAACAACAAAATTTTAAAAGAAGTGTGCCTATTATTTCAAAATGTATTTACACGCTGGCAACGCAGCGGGTCATCAGCTAGTACACTATAAAATAGACGTTTTGAGGCATGTCATCCAGAAAAAATTTTTAGCCTACGGCGAGTTTCCCCCTCCCCCTATAAACAAATTTATAAAAATATTATCCTGCACCTATGAGAACTTTCAAAAATCTGCGCCTCTGCCAGGGGCCTTATTCACAAGCGTCTGCGGATCACACGGAGGCAACGCCACGAATACAGCGCCCATAACGTTTTTGCTGCTTGTTTTTTGACGCCTCCGCCTCCTTGTCCTGAATCCTGATTCCTGATGAATATTATTGTTATATTCTAGGATTATTTTGCAATTTCCATTTCGTGAAATATCGATATTTAACTAAAAATTTTAGAAAGACTAATGAGAATTAATTTTTTCGGGATGGGGTATCAAGCGGGACCCGGGTACAAAAAAATAATTGATAAGTATACATGGCCCTTCGCCTTCGCCCTTCACAGTTGATTTGTAGGCTGTATCACAACCAAGCTGTTTTTGTAAGATTTTGAAAGACAGTATTTAATCTAGATTGTTGAATAATAGCTATTTATATAAATAGCATTAAATATCAAGTACAATAAAGAAAGGCTTTATTGTACGAATAATTTTATGACCGAGCGAGCTTGCGAGCGAGGCTATTAAATAATAAGTCAATATTCAATAAAGCCTGTTTATGTGAGCGTGATACGGTGATACCTACGTAATGTTTTAATGCGTTTATGTAAATTTCCATCTCGACGATAAATAAAATAAATAATTATTGTACCATTTTTCCTCTTAACAGTTCCATATTTTATAAACTGTGCTCTGATGGTATCTTGCTCTAATTTTCTTTTCTACTCATTAAAGTCTTCCTTATTATTAAATGTTAAATTCTTGGGGAGGTGAGACTTTCTCGAAATTCCCTCTCATGTCATTGATAATAAGACAAACTATCGAATTATAAATAATAATTTTGTGTCAAATAAATAAAGAGAAGGTAAACAAAAATGCTAGTGAACCGCCGTTTGTCGCTTCGTGCCAAATTTTAAATTTTCGTTCGTACACTTCCAACCATATTCGTGGCGTTGCCTCCGTGTGATCCGCAGACGCTTGTGCCTTATTCTGTAAAAAACGAAGCCTTCGATTCGGTAGAATTTCTTCGATTGTGACGTCATTTTCGGTTTGCTAGCGCCGAAGCTATTCCGAAAATGCCGAAAATGACGTCACAATCGGAGAAATTTTACCGAATCGAACGGTTCGTTCTTTACAGAATGAGGCCCCAGGCCCACCCTAGGCCCCCCCAGGTCCGATGGCTAGTTACACCAGTGCAAATATTTGACAATAAAATTCATATAATAGGACAAGAGCTAATGTGATGCTGTCCCAGTTACTTTTGGTGACGATGGTACCTATGTAGGTAGAGCGTGCGG